GAATGTGCTTAAAACCCCCAGTGACAATTGAATAGGATGTTTGCTGAGAGTAAATCCAAAACAGGAGTATGTGTATATGGCATGAATTAGTCATTGACTTTAAGCTTCTCCGTATCTCTACAAGGAATTATTAATAAAATTTGTTTATTGACAACATGAATCCAAGGCTCTAACATGTCTTAATGTGACTCAGAGATAACTTTCAGTTCCTGGGAAATGTGAGAGATAAAATGGAATTTACCAGGTAACTTCATATGTCACAGCTTCTGGAATCAGACAGTCCATGTTCAGTTTCAACCCCACCACTTAATAGCAGAATGACCTTGGTTAATTGATTAACTTCATGCCTTCGATTTCCTTTCCTGCAAAGTGTCAGTAATAGTACTTGTTCATGGAGTTGTGAAGTTTAAGACTTGAGTGGCCAAGAAAGGCTAGATGGGATAGATGGCATTAAAGAGACTTGCGGTAGAGGGGATATGTTGGATACTGGATACAATGACGAAGTTCAGTTCATGTTCATCTAACTTGTTTAATAATGCATGTAAGCTGTGTCCAGAATTCTCTTTTAAATTCATTTCTAAGATTTTGGGATTTTCTTGTTTAAACTCTTACATCAATCCCATGAAATGCAATCCCAAGTAATTGCAGTTATCTGTAGGAGGAATTATTTAAAAATATGTGCTCATAAACCACTTTTCAATATTGCTATTCTCCAACCTGCTTCCCCTCTCCATGGATTTTCCTGCACCTCCACTTGAAAGAACATGACAGCTAATTGCAGTAGCTTTGATAAAATACAATTAGGATTAAAGTGCCTTCCTCTAAAATACACTTTAGGCCTAAATGTAAAATAAACGTTTTTAAATCACATTAAGAGATTTGTGTTACTGGTGCTAACACCAATAAGGGTTAATATATAAGAGGATGAGCTTTAAGAATTTACAAAGTCAGCCGGACTCAGTGGCTCAGCCTGTAATCCCAGCACTTTGGGAGACTGAGGTGAGTGGATTGCCTGAGCCCGCGGGTTCGAGACCTGCCTGGGCAACTTGGCAAGACCTCATCTCTACAATAAATTAAAAAAAAAAAAAAAATTAGCCAGGGTGGTAGTGCGCGCCTGTAGTTCCAGCTACTTGGAAGTCTGAGGCGGAAGGATTGCCAGAGCCCAGCAGGTCGAGGCTGCGGTGGCCGGGAGCAGCCACTGCACCCCAGTCTGGGTGACAGTGAGACTCCAACTCAAAAAAAAAAAGAGTTTACAAAGTCAATATTACTTAACCAACTTCTTCCGGGTCCATTGTTTATCCCCCTTTTTTTTCTCCTGCTGTTTTCAGTACAAGTTTTATGTGTTTGAGCTCCAGTATACAATCTGCCTGTTCCCCCAAAACCACATTCGACCACTAAATTTAGGGCCTCACTAATTTTTGTCATATGTAGTCATACATTTTTTTTTATCATTTTGCGATAACAAGAGTCTTCATTGGGTTTTTCAAATGTTCATACACCTGAGGTCAGTTTTCTTTAGTCTTTCAAGTCAGTCTATAGGAGTGACTGCTTTGTGGATGAATTTAGATGTCCTGGCAATAGGAAAAAATAGTATACTTCTCAGGCCTGTTAGCTGTTTGAATATTTTGCATGAAAACTTTTTTTTTTTTTTTAACTTTATTACCAGCAAAGATAGAGGCTGCCTACACCAGGGACTTTAAACTTGGCAAAATCGCCTGCAAAGCTTTTTTTAAATACAAGTTTCTGTGTTTAAGTAGCTGCTTCCGACTGAATTAATACGTACGTAAGTACAGCAAACGTGAAGAATGAAGACGACCTGGTGGGTGACGGTAGGTAGCAGCTTTGGGCTGCTCGTCGGGCAGATTGGGTTCTTATCTTGGTGCTTCTCATATCAAGTGTAAGGGCTAAAGCTGAGATGCTGAGGAACCAATTTTTAGAACTCAGCGAGGGGTGGGGGGTTAAGACTTCTTGGCGCTTAGGCCAACAATATATAGGAGTTTTTTTGTTTCCTGGAGGAGTCTCACTCTGTGACTCGAGTGGAGTGCCGTTGCACACTCACGGCCACCGCAGCCTCAAAATACTGTACGCACGTGATCCTTCCACCTCAGCCTTCCAAGTAGCTGGAACCACAGGCAGATGCCACCACGCCCAGCTAATTCTTTGACTTATTGGAGGGATGAGGTGTTGCCAAGTTGCCCGGGCTGGTCTCGAACGCCTAGACTCAAAATCCTTTAACCTCCACCTCCCAAAGTGCTGAGATCACAAGTGTGAGCCACTGTGCCCGGCGCTAAAATGAGCTTTTTAATGTGATTGAAAACTCAGGGTGATTGTGCCTGAGAGAGATCACGAAGGGGAAGACAATATTACTGCTGGGTGAAAAATGAAACACATCACACCGTTAAAGTTGCCCAGGCTGCTCTCAAACCCGTGGACTCAGGCAATCAATCCACTCACCTCGACCTCCCAAAGTGCGGGGATTACAGACTGAGCCACAAGCCTGGTCAGGGGGAGAGCTTTAAAAACCAGACAAACCTGGGTGGCAATCCCAACTGCTTTCTACCAGTTAGATAGCCTTGAGGAAGTTGACACTGAAACCCATTCCTTGTTTTCTTTTAATTAATTCATTCATTTGTTATAAAGATGTGGGGTACAATTCAGGGTTAGGTATACAAACATTGATCATGCAGGCCCCTGCCTCCCCTAGCAATTTCCTTTGACTACCAGTCTCTGTTTTCTTAAGTGAGAGTAATTTCCACCCCAAACAGCAGCCAGAAGTCAATGACGTGCCTTTTTCTATGACGAGCTCAGTGAATGCTAGCCCTCCCAGTGCCTGCCTACCTGCACTCCCAGCCTTCTTTCGGACCACCTTCTCCGAAGGGAAGATACAACGGAGGCACACATGGGCAATGGAAACGAGCATAATTTCACTCAATTGGTCGTATTCTAAACACAACAATAAAGCAGTAAAGCACTGAGGTTCAAAGCTTGCCTATTGCAAACTTCAGTTTTTTGAAGGTTTTGTCTAATATTCCAAAACTGGTATTTTTATGTACCAATAGAAAAGGGGTCGCTTTGTTAACACTGACTTCACATGTCCATTCCTGTGATCTGTATACACAGTGTAAACATGTCTTACACCCTGCCCTTTCCCCATAGGGTTTAGCAGACTTGAATGTGAATAGTTAATTGTCCCAAAGTCCAGTATAATGTTCGGATTTTAAGGTATACTGAAGATCTCTTCAAAATTTTTAACTTACTTATTTTTTCCCAAG